AGTTTAACTCCGCCCACCTTTAACTCCACCCCACAGTTTAACTTAGCCCTCAGAACCTGTGCACAGGATTCTCATTGCAGTCCTAGAACTACAGAGCAGCTAAGTGAGCAGACTCATTTCTTCTTTTAACAGCTGTGCCTGAAACACTGTGTGCGTGTGGCACCTGTGCTAAAGCAGCCAGGACTCACCCTCAGCTGCTGCTTTCCCGCTGGGCATTCGAGCCTGGGCCACTGCTGACACTATAGGAGTTGTTCCAGTGTTCCTTCTGATCACAGCTGGCACGTGAATGTGGTAAAGAACCAGGGCTTTAAGGGGGACATTTCCCATCCCATGTCTTAAACCCCAAGCAATAAAAACAAAATTCACACATTCACACACACCCCTGCACACACACACACAGAATCTGTGTTTTAGCCAGGTGTGGTGGGAGGTGTTTGAGCCCAGCCTAGGCAACTTGGTGATTTAGCAAGACCCTGTCTATAAAACAGGGCTGGGGATGCAGCTGAGTGAGGAGGAGGGAGAGGAAGAATAATCAGTCGCTCTTCTTCAATTTCTCTAACAACTCTGTGAAAATGCAAATTCTTTTTCAACAGTGAAAACAGAGATTCTAGGGGCCGGGGATTTAGCTCAGCGGTTCGGTGGCCTGCCTTACAAGCGCAAGGACCCAAGTTCAATCCCCGGTACCAAAACAAAAACAAAAACAAAAACAGATTCTAGAGATCCAGCAGCGATGGAGCTAGAGTACTCAGGAGGGAAACACTGAGCAGCCACTTTCCATTTAGGGCAGGAGGATCACTATGAGTCTGAGGCCAGCCTGAACTGACTCAAAACAAAAAGCACAAATGAAAAGGGGCGTTTCCTGCCTGGACCGTTCACAGCTGAGTCTGCAGAGTGGTCTCCAGCCTTGCCCGGCCTCACTGCAGCTCTCGGAGCTGGGGACTCTGGGCCCTGGGGTCCGCGCTCAGCTCACACCCCAGTTCCCTGGCCCCAGCTCCTGGTGGGGAAGGCGGGAGGGAGACCTGGAGAGGCCTTCAGCGGGGACGCGACGGAGGGAGACGGGCCAGCGCAGGGAAGGAGCTTGGCCGACCCTCGCAGGCCCTTCCCGGGGCCACGGCCTCAGCCACAGTCTCTGGGCAGGCTGGGAGCTGGCACGGACCCGCAGGGCCCGCTCCCTGCCATTCCAGTCTGTGTAGAAATAAACAGAAGGGACAGAGACCAGGCGTCCTGTGCAGGCGTCCCCAGGATGACGCAGAGGCACCTGCTGGCTCAGCACAGCCCCGGACTCTGGCCCCTGGGCCTCGTCTTGCTGCTCGAGGCCTGGCCTCTTCTGGTTCCTCAGTCAGTGCTGTCTCAGCTTCTCAGACTGGCAAGCCGGAGCCAGAACTCCTGTGGTCTGACTGCTCCCGACTCTGGGCCCGGCTCCACAGCTTGTTGGCTTGCGGTCTGGAGTGTGCTCGGCCTCAGTTTCCCTGGGTGAGAACGCAGCTGTGTACCAGCCACTGATGTGGGTGAGCTGTCTGCAGCCAGCTGGGCAAGCTGGACAAGGCAGGATCCTCCTGCACTGCCGCAGCTCTGGCCCAGCCTCATGCGGACAACCAGGCCACACAGGCGCACACAGAGGTTCCCGCTCGACCATCGAGAAGGAATCAGTCACAACCGGAAACGCTTTCTGCCCTGGCAGTGCACCCAGAGTCGCCAAGGAAACAAGGAACAACAGCTGCTGTTCCCGGGGGTCACTGGGCACCCTGGGGGCATTCTGTTCCCATAGCAACCCCAATAAAGCACAGCACTTCTGTCTCAGACACCAGGCAACTGATGCCTGGGGAGGCTGAGCTGCAGCTGGTTACGGCCAGGGCGTAGGCGAGAGCCCACGCCACCCGGCTCCCAGTGGGTGCTACACGGGGGCCCCTGCACCCCACGGCCCTTGGGCCAAGTAAGAGTCTGCCAAGGGAAAATTGCCCCAGAAGGGGAGAATGTTTCACAGCACGTCGGTGAAGCACAGGCCGCACACAAGAGGTCATCTCATCAGACCCCTCCTGACAGATGGGGAAACTGAGGCAGTGCTGGCATTCAGACCCATGCCTCTGGACTCCCATGCTGCGCATCAGGGTCGGAGCCACAGAACACAGTTCCACCATCCACACAACACACAGGACGGGGTGCAGCATGTGCCCTCATTCTGATACAGGGCCAGGGCTTCTTAGTAACTCCGAGCTAAAGGTCAAAGGCCTGGTCTTCACATGTGAACAGTGGGGAGGGACTCCCCCAGACCTGGAATCCAGAGGAGCCCTCCTGGCAGGTCCCTCAGAGAGCAGCTGCTCCAAGTCCTCAGTATGTAAAAGGGACGACAGTGGGGCATGATGGCCCACGCCTGTCATCCCAGCACGCGGGAGGCTGAGGCAGGAGGATTGATGTGAGTCTGAGGTCAGCCTGGGCTACAGAGTGAGACCCTGACCCCAAAAACAAAACAGGGCTGTGCGTAGTGGTGGCACCACACACCTAACTCAGATCATTCACATTTTTAAGTGTGGAGAAGTACAAATGATAACCATCAAAAGATGACACCGTAGAAGGGGGTGAGGGGAGGGCAGGGGTATGGGGAAAAAACAAGAACCAAGACACATCATGTAAAGGTACAAGATCCCCATGATAAATGTAACTGTGTTGTTTGCTTTAAATGCACCAATAAACTTGATGGGGGGGGGACACCGCAGCCAGCACAGTGGCAAATGCCCACCAAGCCGCCTGCTGGGAGAGGGAAGGAAGCCGTGCCTCAGCCCCAGGGCAGCCACACCTAATGTGGCAGCACCACCATCCCCCAGCTCCCACAGCCCGGGGATTCCCCTGTGGCCTGCACACAAGTGGATTCCAACCCTCCTCCCGCTGAGGAGCCTCCCGGAGCCCCCCTCCACTCCCGACCCACAGAACCTCACCGAGACAGGCTCCGGATCGGACAGAAGCCTGCACACTGGGCATACTGTGTGCCCAGTGCCTGGCTGCCTCGGGGTGGACTCGCCCTAGAACATCCTGGTTCCTGTGACTGTGGATGTGCCCAGGGCCCTGCCAGTATACTTGCTTGGCAGTGGTTACAATACTGAGTGCTGTTGCTGTTTAACCACAGTTAGAAACTGAAAGAGAAAGGGAAAGTGCCACTGGACACCCGGCCAGCTTCAGGAGACCTCAGCCAGGAAACAGGATATCCCGCAGCCAGTCAACCATTACACCCAACTGCGCCGAGTGGGAGTGGTGGTGCACAACCGTAATCCCAACCCTTGGGAGGCTGAGGCAGGAGGATCTCCAAGAGCTCAAGGCCAGCTTGGAATACATAAAAAGGTCCTATCTCAAAACACCAAAAGAACAAAACCTGGGCCGGAGGAAGCTGTGCTGGGAGTGGGCAGGCTCAGGGTGCACAGCAGGGCGCAGGGGACAGCTCTGAACTAGTGCTGGCCAGGTGGTATTACCCAAGGGCTTGAGGAGCCCCGGGCAGAGCATGGAGCCTCTAAAGACAGCCAGGCAGCCCAGAGCTCTAAAAATGGACTCGGGCCTGTCAGCCCTGTTCCTGGGCGTGTAACCCAAAGAAACCATTCCATGAAGGCAGAATGGAGCTGCCCAGCTGGAAGTGCTGCTCGCACGCCATTTATAAAAACAAAATCGGAAGCAGCTCCTGAGGCCAGGAGCAGGGAACGTTCAGTACAGTAGGGAGCGCCTGTGAAGCGGGGCACCCTGCTGCCGAGGGAGCAGCCGCTACAAAGGCTGCGGCAGCCACAGAACTTAAAAAGGAGCTGCGGGCTAAAAACAGCCGCTACAAAGGCTGCGGCAGCCACAGAACTTAAAAAGGAGCTGCGGGCTAGAGAGCGGCCGTGGGCTGCGACTGCCGCACGCAGAGAGGCGGCAGGGACGCGGGCAGGGGGCTGGCGGGCACACACCCACGCCAAGCCGGCCGGCAGGAGTCCGGGTCCTCCTCTTAAAAATAAAGGTTTCATTCCGGAAGAGCTCGGCACACAAAGAAGTTGCGAGAGACACGGAGCCGCCATCTCAGCCCCGGCCCAACTCACACAACCCAGCCTCCTGGAGACCAGCAGGCTTCGGAAGGTGAGAGAGGGCACGGCTCCCGCTGTGTGACACCCCAAGGACAAATAATGGAAAAGGCAAAACGGAAGACAACAGGAAACGGGGGGAAGAAGGAAAGGGGACCCAGGCACTGTGCAGGGGGACCAGCTCCCCTCGGCGCAGACCTTAGCTGCACACCACAAACATGGACTGACGATTCTTAAAACTCAGAAGCATCTCCCACTCCAGTGGCACCTCTGTCACAATTATTTTCGGGGGTTTGGTTTTGTTTTGGTACCGTGGATGGAAATCGGGACATTGCACTTGCCAGGCAGGTGAGATGCAACTGAGCTACATTCCCGGCCCTCCTGACTTGTGTTTCATGACCCAGTGGTTTTTAGCATTTCACAGCTCCGTGAGACCATCGTGATAGTCAATTTTAGGACATTTTCATCACCTCCAAAAGAGAGCCCCCACTCTTTACCTTTCTCCATCATCACTGCTAGCCTGTGATTCTTTGAACCTTGTTTTGGACTGATTGCACTGCTGCATATCTTTAAAACAGTGTGGTGAGGAGGAGTGGAGGTGCCCTGTGCCCCTGAACGCGTGGCTGCGAAAGGAGCAGCCTCACAGCGCTGCTTCTGGGCACTCAAGAGTTCAGGTGCTGAAAAGGTAAGAGGCCCCGGCTCCCCAAGCGCTCCGAGGCCCTCTGGTGAGGACAGAGCTCCTGCTGGTGGAACAGCTGGCGCTGGCAAGAATGACCAGGCCCAGCAGATGCAGGCGGGCACCTCTGGGGCCATCGTGGTGTGCCCAGGAGGTGGCCGCAGGGATGGCACAGGGTCGCCGGCCCCCAGCTCGCACCCGGAAGCAGCGTTAGTAACGCACATCTCCTCGGCCCCCGTGCAGCCACAGCCAGGACACCAGCCACCCTCCGGGGACGTGGGCGTTACCTGCACCACTTCCTTCACCAGGGTCTTGTCCGTGCCGGTCTTGGCGCGCTGCAGCCCGCTGACGTTCTCCCCGATCCACGTGATGAGGGCGAACTTGGACCGCTTGCTCATGGCGTCCCCCGTGGTGAAGCGCACGAAGGCAAACAGCCGGACGTCATCTGTGCCAACAGCAGAGAATGCGGGGCTCAGGCAAGCCCTGAAAGCCACTGCGCTGACCCGGCCCTGGGCTGTTCAGGAAGGTGAGCATCTCAGGTGCCCTCCGCAGCTGTGCCACGCTGCCGCCACCGCCACTGCCATCTAACTCCAGAACATCCCTGTCACCCACGACACCCAAATCACGCACAGTCACATGTCCAGCCGTGGCGACCACGACTCTGCTTCTGTCCCTGTGGGTTTGCCTGTCCCAGGCATTTCATGTAAATGACATCATGCGACATGGGGCCTTTCGAGACAGTGCTTTCTGCATCCCGTTTTCAAGGTTCGCTCCTGAGCCCCGAGAGACCAAGGGTGATTACGTGACACTGGTCTCCCCGAGGACACCGGGCTGCTTCCAAAGTGGGCCCGTCATCCTCCCCATCGGCTGACCCTGAGGTGACCCGGTTCACGGTGACAGTAAATAGGAAGGGCTTCCCCTGATGGCCTTGCTGCTCCAGGAAGCCCAACCACTGCACAGGGACTGAGTGCGGGGCAGTACACAGCCCTGGCTGGGCACGGGGGCCCTGGAGCACCGGCATCTGGGGTTACCAGCATGTCCTTTCGGTTAGCATCTCTGCAGTGCAATTAAACTGCAGCCTTGACCCGAAGGGCCGGGCTCCGTCCCCATGGAGACCCCTCTGTGGCGGGGGAGCTGCCAGGGACACTGTGGAGGAGGTGGGCCTCGCTCTCCCAACCTGTGTCTCGGCCACACTGCCCCTCTGCCGGCACCGGCCAGCTTTTCTGTGCTGGGCCATTCCAACACCCCCAGTTCTGGAACCTTACTCCTCCCGCAGAGGGAAGGAGCTCAAGCAACTTCCAGGGGCCTCTAGACTGAGTCTGGCATCGCCCTGCTCAGGCTGCAGAACCGCAGACAGGCGCAGTCGCACCCCTGCCCCGGGGACTTGGGGACCTTCCAGACCCACAGGCTGATGTCATCGCCATCACGCCGGAGCCGGTGAGGAGGGACGTGGGTTCCTGGTGACTGCTCAGGGCTGATCTGACAGTGCTCTGGTCCACGCAGACCGCTGACGGTGCATCCTCGCAGTCCTGGAATCCCAGTCACGGAGTTCACAGCTTGGCTGCCGGCCCAGCAGGGAGTCTGCGTGGGGCGAGCAGCACTCCTGTCCCCGGCCGTCCGGGACCCCGGAGCAGGACCCTGCCCTCCCAGCCTCCTGCCAGCACCACACTCCCCACAGGAGAACACAGGCACGGGCACAGCCAGAAGCTCGGTCTTCGGGCCTCTCCTCACCCCAGATGTGCCACCGGCCCCCACGGGCCCCAGGTGACCAGGAGCCAGCACACTCCGCCTGCCTTTGAAAAGGAGTCAAAAACTGCAGTTCTCAAAGTGTGGTGCGTGGACCCGCAACCTCAGCAGCAACCATGAATGCAGTGCAGATGTGGGTTCCGGGTGCCCAGCCCAGACCTGCTGACCGGAACCGCAGCATGGGGCAGACAGTGTGACCAGCACAGGGCACAGGAGTCAGCAGGCTGGGTTCTGGAGCTCAGCCCCGCCCCTCCTCTCTGTGCTGTCCTGAGACGCGGCCCCCAGGTACAGCGCGCAGGGCACGGACCCCAGCTCCGCCCACATGAAGCCTAGGATGTCCCCCACGAAGCCCCACACCCAGAGAGAAGCCAATGCACCAAAGGAGGGATGGGCAGTAGCACGAGGTCTCCACTCCCCTCGCCCCTGCTTCGTTTCCCTCCTCCCTGTGGCCTCTGCCCCCCACTTTCAGGTCCCCCTCCCTCCACAAAGTGGCTGCCCAGGGCTGGGCAGGGGTGATGGAGACCCTGGGGGGATTGGGAGGCAAAGATGAGCTGGGGACCAGGGTGACACTGAGCAGTGACAGCAACAGGGTGACCACAGGGGTTAGGGAAAGGGAGAAAAAAGGGGGAAGTCAAGAGTTCTCCGAAATCACCATGGCCACCAGCATGAGCTGCTAACGTCCCCAAAATGAAGAAGCCACGCCACCCCACCACAGACCACACCAGATGGCCAGGGCAGAGTCCACACAGACCGAGGCCCCATCTACTATTTGATACAGGGTCTCAAGAGGAACTCCAGGCTGGCCTTGAACTCACTTTCCTGAGGCGATCCTCCTGCCTCAGCCTGCCAAGTGTCAGGATTACAGGCATGGGCCAGCATTTCCAACTGGCCCCTATATTCTTGCAAAAGGAGCTCTGGTTTCCGCTGCTGACTCCAGAGCCAGTCTCTCTACCATGCACAACTTTCCTCCACTTCCACAAACACGTGACAAGATTTTTCTCCTTTTGCACAGAGCACATCCGAGGTGTAGGTGAATAAGAAACTCAAGTGAGCAAAACCAAGCATCCCTGCCCTGGCTTCACCCCTGCACACTTCTGGGCACCAGTATCTTATCTCTTCCGCGCACCATAACCAGGCCCTGTTACATCCCAGGACCGATCACGCCGCAGTCACCCACCACCGTGGCAGGAAAGAGAAGCGTGATTTCATCATTTCCACCCCACAGTGAGCTCCTGGGCAGGGCCAGGAGAGGAGGCGGAGACCGGGAGAGGCTGCCCCGAGCACCCCAGGGTTGCAGCTCACTCTTGAGCTGCCTGCCACTCACCGGGCTCTGAGGAGCGAGGCGAGAGCACCAGCTTCCACAGTGAGGGCCGGGCGGTGGGAGCAGGGACCAGACGCCTTGGCAAGGCCACTGCTGAGCATGGGCATCTCCAGGGCAGCCAGGGGGTGGCCCACGGGGAGAGGGGGCCCCTCCACAAAGAGGAAGGAGCACTCTGTGGGCGCGAGTGCCAGGGCTGAGCTCCTGCTCTTCAAGCCTGAAGGGGAGCGCTTGTCACCAAGGGCTCACAGCCTCTTGCACTCTGCCCAGGCCCTCAGGTTCCCTTGAATGATCAAAGCAACAAAAGCAAAACTCCTGCCCTACCTAAAAAATTTTAGGAAATCTTAAAAAGTATTTCAAATTACGTACATCACCCGGGCAAATGTGGAGGTACATGCCCATGGTCCCAGTACACGGGAGGCTGAGGCAGGAGGATCAAGGCGCTACACAGTGAGTTCGAGGCCAGCCAGAACCACATAGCAAGACCCAGATATTTAAAATTAAATACCCCAGAAATCACAGTGCCTCAGAAATAAAAGCGCAGTTCCCATTTCAACTCATTCCTGTTTGTCCCTGGGGTCTACAACGCTCGTGCATGCAGAATGTCTGCTCTCAGCCTGCGCTGGTGCTCAGATGCATGGCGTCTCACGTGTGGCCGAGGCTTGGAAGACAGCCCTGAGCTCTCACTAGACACGAGTGACCCAGCTTCCCAGGGATGGGGGGAGGAGGACACAGAGCCCCGTGGAGCCCCGGGGCAAGCTGATCCCAATACCCAGATTGTTAGGTGCCCAGAGGCCCCCTGACTCAGTACTAGTCATCCCCGGTCTGCAGGAGTCTGAGACCCTCACTGTGGAATCTATGCTGAGACCGTCGGGTACCTGCAGGATTCAGAGCCTGACTGCCAGTGTACCAGCAGCCCTAGTGTGCGCTGCTTTGTACTCTATCTTGGGTACCAGGGATCAGATTCGGGTCCTTGCACTTGCAAAGCAGTGGCAGAACCACTGAGCTAAATCCCCAGCCTGCTTTGTATTCTTATTGCTCCCTTTGGAAGTTTTGCTCTCAGTCACTCGACAATCATTTGACAACCTGTGCTGTCTTTCGCGAATAAAACACAGTCTCTGCCCTCAAAGAATACCCAGTCTAGCATGACAAACGAGAGCACAGTGTGTAGGGCCAGGGGGCTACTCTGAGGTAGAGCAGCTGCCCAGTGCGCACAAGGCCCTGGGTTCTATCCCCAGCACCCCATGCACAACAAGCACAGTGTGGAGGGACAATGATGCTAACCCTAGGGCAGGCGGCTCTGGGAACGTGGAGAAAGAGGCGGCTCAGTCAAGGGCGGCAGGGCAGGCTTCCGGGGGACTGGGTCTGACCTGCTGGTGAGGAGGCCGTTGAGCCCATGGGGGGCCAGGCTGGCAACCCCAGGGCAGATTCTGACAACCAGTTCAAGCCGGGTGCCTCCCTCTGCCCACCCCTCGCAGTTCCGACCTCCACAGGGCCTGGCAGCGCCGGGCACCTCCAGCACCTGAGTCCCAGCGCAGGCTCAGTGAAAGGTTCTGGGGAACCAAAGGCTCGTGCCCGGCCTGCGGCTCCCCACCCGCCATGCTCAGCAGAGGGCCCAGGGACCAACCTGCCAGGCCTGCCTGGGGGTCAGGGGGCAATCGAGAGCCGCACAAGTCCCAGGGAGAAGGCGAGGGACAGTCCTTGGGACAAAAGGTCTGCAACCCAAGTGGAGCCCAGGCCCTGCCCCTGGGCCCTGCTGCCCCAGCTGTCTTTGGGGGTTAAACACTGACATCATTTCTCGGCCTCTTGCAGTTTAAAAACCCGAGCAGTCACATGCAGGCATCAAACCCCTCCTTGCTAGTATAAATCCGTGGGTCGCCAAGGCCACAAGGCTCCCGGACGCATGCCCCGACCTCTCCAGGGCACATGGGGGGACCCCAGGGCCCGGCACACCATGGGTCCCAGGGCCAGGCTTGCAGGGAGAGGAGGGTTTCCGGGCCTGAGCGCCTGAGGGGAGCACCCGCCCCACTGTCCCGGGCTGCGACACAGGCTGGCTCCTTCCTTCCTCCCTCCCCGAGCCCCTGCCTGCCTGGGCAGCAGATTCTTTTATTTGCAGACCATGAACAATCAGTCCCATTTTGCAAGCAGAGTACAACTGAAGCTGGAGGACGGAACCGAAGGCCTCTCTCTGGGTCAGGTGGGATGGCTTCCAAGGCAAATGGGGGTCAGCTGGCCAGCAAAGCCCCCTCCAGGGACCTCCTGGCTTCCGTGTCCCCTGCACAGGTGAGAAAGCCACCCCCAAGCCTTGCTCTCTGAGCCAGGTGCCTGCCGGGGGCTGCGGAAAGAGCTGTGCTGGCTCCGCCTTTGGCTCCCCAAGAACCCACCGGCAGGGGTTCAGCTGCATCAGGAGTGGGGCTTGGTACCAGCACCTAAAACAGCGCAGCGGCCTCCGTGCTGCCCAGGGCACCTTGGTTCCCCCCTCGGAGTGAGGACAGCATGGGACTGGGCCATGCACAGGTAAAGGAGACCAGGACTGGACCTCGGGCCAGGACAACGTGCAGGTCCTGACCACGCGGAGCCACAGACATGACTCACATGGGAGAGGGACTCTGCAAGGGACACCGGGATCTGGAGCCAGGGGTGACCCGGGTTACTGGTCAGACTGATGTCATCACGAGGTCCTTAAATAAAAGGAGGGGACAGGCCTGGTGGTACATACCCATAGGCCCAGCACTTGGGAGGCTGAAGCAGGAGGATCACTGCAAGTTGGAGGCCAGCCTGGGCTACACAGTGTGTTCAAGGCCAGTCTGAGCTATTGAGCAAGATGTCTCAAAACACAAAAACAAAAACAAATGTGGAGGAGGAGGCGGCAGAAGAGCCAGACTGGGATGGCCCAGACAGATGGACACAGCCAACACTACGGTTGTGAACACAGCGGAGGCCCAAGTCCAGCACTGCAGGAGCCACTGGGCCTCAGAAGAGGTGAGGAACAGATTCTCCCTGAAGACTTGAGCCAGGGTGGCATCTCGCAGACTTCTGCAGAGCAGGCTCTGAGCCGGGAATGGGTGCTGTTTTAGGTCAGCTGCCTGGGCCGCTGGGTTAGAGCAGTGGTGAGGAAACCCACTTGGCTGGCGGCCTGCACACGCCCACCCGGCACCCAGGGCTACTCCAGGGCATCGCTACAGAGCTCCTTGCCTTCCCGGCCGGGCTCAGTCACACGTACAGGAGACTGATGGAGGTGCTGACCGCAGGCTGGGTGCAGAACGAGGCTCTAGCGCACGTAAACTCTGAGTGCAGGCCACACAAAACATTAACCGCCCGCGTGGGATCCCAGCTGCTCACGGCTCCGCCCAATTTCCAAAGCCAAACGTGTAA